TGGTGTTGGAGAAGACTCTTGAGAGTCCCTTGGACTGCAAGGAGATCCAACCAGTCCATCCTAAAGGAGATCAGTCCTGGGTGTTCATTGAAAGGACTGATGTTGAAGCTGAAACTCCAATACTTTGGCCACCTGATGCAAAGAACTGACTGATTTGAAAAGACCCTGATTCTGGGAAGGATTGAAGGTGGGAGGAGAAGGGCATGACAGAGGGCGAGATAGTTGGATGGCATCACCGACTCGACGGACATGAGTTTGAGTAAGTTCCGGGAGTTGGTGATGGACAGGGAGGCCTAGCGTGCTGCGGTTCATGGGGTCACAAAGAGTCAGACACGACTGAGCGACTGAACTTAACTGAAGAGAATAACAAGGACAAATCCACTGACAAGCACTGAAGTTCCTCACTGTCTAACTGCATTAGGGAACATTTGTAAACCCTTCTCTTCTCCTTCAATACCTCTTTCTTTTCTTTTTAAATTTTTATCAGAGTATGGTTGATTTACAATGTGGTGTTAGTTTCAGGTACACAGCAAAGTGAATCAGGACATATACTTATATCCACTCTTTCTGTTTTTAAGATTCTTTTCCCATATAGGTCGTTACAGAGTATCGAGTAGAGTTCCCTTTGCTACAGCGCGTACCTCTTTCTAGCCATTATAAATAAAAATGAACACCTATATCATGATGATAGTTCTCTTCAAGGAGTTGATTCTTTAATAATTAAACATACTGTGACATCCCACACCCACCCAGCACGTGTCTCTTTGTGTTTCAGCTGCTGAATGCCTGCTCCTCTCGTCTCAAGCTGGCCCACCTGGCCAGGGCACTGTACACCCCCAGTGGAGAGCCAGTTCACTCGTGGGATGACATAGAGCGAGACATGGTCATCTGTGTGTCTACAGGGCGAAGCTTCAGACCTCAACAAGGTATGAGCGACGTTTCTTTTCCATCATGTTTTTGAAGAATTAAAGCATTGTTTCTTCAAAGAGCTTTTTTTTTTTTTTTTACTGAATTTTATATCCCATCATGATGATTTTTAATGACTGTCCTACTCCACACTTTTGTATGCCATATTACTAAAGTTAAATTCCATATTTATTTGCTGGAAGCTCACTGTTGACACTGTTTGATCTAAAGCATTCAACGAAAGTTCTGTTAGTCTTGAGTTTTATCCAAGGGGCTTTAGTTGTAGAAATTCTAAAAGGCCTCCTTTGAAGGTATTCATTTTTTAGCATTAACCCTGAGGAAAGTGAGGCATCCTTGATTTCCTACTTTGCAAGTTATTTAAAACTTAATGTTTTTTTTAAAAAACAAATATACACTTTACACATTTATTTTGTTTACTAATAAGTAAATATATGCTTGTTTATTATCTTGTCTGTCTTTCAACAACTTTTTTTGGATAAATGTTAGAAATGGAAGAGAACATAACATTTGGTATTAAACCAACTCTTGTTTTTCATCCTACTTATCCTGAGGAATTTAAAACCCCTTTCTGGGGTAAGTCTACATTAACAAAGACAGAATTTTCAGGATATCCTGAAAAACATTGATAACATTTTTAAAGAAATCAGAAGATTCAGGGGACATCCATAACAGTCCAATGGTTAAGACTCTGTGCTTCCACTGCAGGGGGCACAGGTTCAATCCTTGGTCCAGGGAACTAGGATCTCACATGCCACGTGATATGGAAAAAAAAAATTAGAAATGAATTACCTGGTATTTTAAAAATAACTAATGTTAGGTTATCTCTTTTAAGAGTCACCATAAAATTTTTATTACTATGTCTTATATAAGGTATAGAAACCAAAAAAATTTTAAAACAGTTGTAATCCTATCTTTATACTTAGCCTAGAAGGGGCAAAAATATGGGATAAAAACTAAAATGCAGGAAGACAAGGATTTATTGGGATGCCTAACACTATTCTGAGATTCCCCCAGCACCACCTATATCAAAGAAGGGCATTAACCTTTATATTCTTTGTACTTGTCCCCATCATTCACCATTACCCCTCACCCCAGTTCTTGGTGACCCTTACTATGTAATTATTTAGAAGAATTACTTAGAATGAACCAGTGATGTCATCCTTAACAGGAAGTACTAATTGATAGCTTTCTGTATTCCATAACCAATAAAAGAAATGTAAGTCAGAGCTCCTTCCCTGAAAGAGTTTTGATCTAGTTAAGTATATGAACACACTTGAAGTAATTGAATAGTAAGGAAACAAGTGGTGTGGTAGAAGGTAACTTCCCAGTCCTTTCGTTATTTATGCTTAATCTTTTGTACTCTTGGGATGGCCTTCTGTTTCCTGGACCTCGCCCTCCTGGCCCCACTGTATTCATTGGGCTTTTCAGATAAGTAACAGGCAACCTAGCCAGAGAGGTATCCAAAACACAGAGAGAAATGTAGGCTACCTTCCCAGAAGCAAGCTTGTTACCCATAAAAACTGGAAAAAGAAAAGAGAAAACTGAAAATGCAAACATTACTTTTCCTACCATTTTCTTCCTTGTTAGCTCTGTAGACCTTTGACAAGGCTATATAGACATTCATTTTTGCGTCTTCAATTCTTTAACCACATCGATTACTATGATGTGAAAGAGCTGTTTCTTCCCCTCTTAAAATGGGTCCTCATATTCCTTTAATGGTCAAAGTGTTAGTGGTTTCCCCCAATTGTCTAAGATCTTTTCAGTGGGTGATATATGTTCTAGAAAATCTAATTGATAGTGGAAAGTCTAACTTAGTTGCTATTAGAAAGTTATTTTATTATATGAACTGCTATTTTATTGTTTTTCTTGAAATAATTAAATGAGAAATAATCATTTGATAGAAATCTAAACACTCAGAATGCTTTAGAAAAGAGAGAGAAATGCTACTAGCATATATATACATTCATATATATACTCTTGTGAAGGCACATTTAATGAATCATTCTGTTCATAATTTTTCTGTGACCTACTGACTTAAGTATGTAGTAGAAAAAAAGGCAGCTTGGGATTTTCAAAACTAAACACCTAATGAGAACTTATTTTATGTACTATAACGTAAAAACATTCAGCATGTGAAAGCCAACAAAGAATCACATTTGGTCTTTGAAAAAATGGATTTGTTTTGGCAAAACAAATCAGACACTGTTAGAATGGTGTCTTTCACACAAACCCCTAACAAAATTAAAAGAGTGCTTTATGCCATTTGTCTTCAACTCTGAACATGGTTCTCAATGCTGTGTTTACCATCTTTTCAGTGGGTTCAATTTTTAGACTACTTCTAGGTTAGCTTCCAATTCAGGCTTTATAAAAAGCTTGGAAGGAAGCCCTCTCTAGCAACTGCCGTTCTGTAGAAATCCAAAGAATGTTAACACATATCTGATGTGATAAGCAAGTCAAGTGTGTAATGAGCGTGGGAGTCGAGGGTTTCTGAAGGATCTTCGAGTTTTTCATCATCCTGAACTTTTAATTATTTGCTATAAATACATTGACTTGTCTCTCAAAATAATTTTTTTCACAGAGTTAAAGCGACTGGTGGAGATCAGAGCAAATTATGCCCGAATCTGCAGGCAGCAGGGCCCTCAAGCCACAGACATCGTGCTGTCACCATCTGCAAAGCTGCATTCCCTGGTACCGTCACTCACTGAATTCCTGGCGGAGCCACCCTAGGTGGTGCTGTGTTTCACTGGGGTAGGTGTGTGGACGTACTTATGTGTTTGCTGGGATGTGATATGATGATTAGTCATCATTCTTAATTTTATGCCATCTCCTTTAAACATTATACCCTCTCCATTTTACTCNCACTGAATTCCTGGCGGAGCCACCCTAGGTGGTGCTGTGTTTCACTGGGGTAGGTGTGTGGACGTACTTATGTGTTTGCTGGGATGTGATATGATGATTAGTCATCATTCTTAATTTTATGCCATCTCCTTTAAACATTATACCCTCTCCATTTTACTCAGTGGCATTTAATGCCTCAAATCTGTTCTTAGAAAGACAACAGAACTCGACAAGGCAATGACAGTAAACCATCTTAGATGTATTTTCTCCTAGGAAAGGGAAAATATTAGTTATTATTGAAAAATAATTTTGTGGGATCAAATAGCATATATTATTCTATATATACTTTTTTATTCTTATATATAATTTGATAATAAAATAGACTGACAATTGTAGTATGTGTATATATATTTACATATGTGTTTAAATTTAGTAGGATCAAGAGTAGTATATGTACCATTTATATAGAAGTAATTTTATATTATTCATTTTATGTTGGGCTTCCCTGGTGGCTCAGGGGTAGAGGAACTGCCTCTCAGTGCAGGAGACATGAGTTTGATTCCTGGGTCTGGAAGATTCCCTGGAGAAGGAAATGGCAACACATTCTAATATTCCTCCCTGAGAAATCCCATGGACAGAGGAGCCTGGTAGGCTACACTCCATGGGGTCACAAAGAATCAGACATGACGTAGTGACTAAACAACAACTACAACAATTTTTTTATTCTTATATATAATTTGATAATAAAATAGACTGATAATTGTAGTGTGTGTATATATATATATAGTTATATTTAGTAGGGTCAAGTAGTATATGTACTATATATAAAAATAATTTTACATATTTATCATATGTATATAAATTATATGTATATAGTATATTATAGATATAATTTGATAATAACAAAGACTCTTTGACTACCTAATGCTAAATTTGAGTCAAACTGACATTTTTCTGGCTCAGCCACTTTATTTTTCAAGGTTCCATGTTAAAATCCTACGTTTACTAAATGAAAATGAAATGGCTGGTGTGGCCACCAAACCCCACATGAATCGCTTTTTCCTCCTCCCACTTCCCCTCAGTTTGGCCTGAGGTAACAAGATTCCTCATGAGCACAGCTAGATGTTGTTCACAGAGTGAAGCTGGATCATTTCTGACGTAAACTCAGTAACCAAAAGCCATAGACTGTGTCCTGAGTACCAAAACCTAGGGAAAGGGTATATGCACCACTTAAAGGAAAAAATCATGTGAGGATTTTTCTTAAGGGGTCAAGGGATATCCTTAGCAATCATATGTAGCAATACTACAGGAAGAGAACTTGCCTTTTAATTTCTTTCTGCTATGAAGAAAGAATTATTTTTTAAGAAAAATATCAGTGACACATCAGAGTTTGATTTCTGGTTCTGGTAAAAGAATTTTCCAGAGAAATGCTCTTCTTTCTTCCTCTGAAAGCCTTTGGCATCTCCATCTGAGTATAAATCGCAGCCTGACTAAAAGTGTACAGAATGGCTCAGCTGGGCTCACTCCTCAATCCACCACTGTAATGTGGTGCAGGAAGGCAGTAGATCATTTCTACTGAAAGGGGCTCTTGGTAATCGCTGCAAAAGGCCTAGCATTTACTCCCAGTCTGCAAATCAGTCAGGTTGCGTGAATAAATTCTTGCTGCCTCTGACACTACTAAAAGCAGAGCACATTGAGGCAAAATTTCAAGTTGCATACACAACAATTTGCCCTTTTGCAGACCTCTTCTCTCTGTGTTGTGCAGTGTTAGAGATGTGAAGGCATTCCAGGACACCTTTGTGATACATATGAAAGAAAGATTGCATGTGCCCCCACTTCGCTTTTCCTTTTGTTGAACGAGAAGGGTTAAGGAACATGCTCCTGGTCACAAAGTGGGCCGGTAGGATTCTTACCTGCTGGGCCTCTTCTTATAAAAGCTGGATTACAATCCCCAGAGACATAGAACTAGTTTTACTTTTTTCCAGATTCCTTGAAAAGAAGGGCATTTCTCTAGGTGAAAAAGTACCTGTCATTTTGCTGCTGAGGAAAAGTTGATTTGCTATGAAAATGGCGTGATTTCACCATGGATCAAATGTGCAGATTCTTGTGAAGTCTTCACTGTTGTGTGTGAACATGTCTGAAGCGAAAATTGGTAATATCACACAACACTGTATCAGTGTACCAGGAGACGTAAGGCAAAACTCTTAACTGAACTTTTCTATTACTCGTAAATGTGATTTTAGATGTAATATAACAGTCATCAACACATCACATTTTACCAGCAAGGCAGTGACACGTACTTTGTTGACGATGGCTTGCACAGGGTATCTTGGCAGTTCGTAACCATTTTTAACTTCAGAGTAAGAACAGCCCTGCTCTTTACCATTGACCTTCTTCTATGATCGCCTGGATCATGTGGACTGACACTACTAAAAGCACATTGAGGCAAAATTTCAAGTTGCATACACAAAAATTTGCTCTTTTGCCCTTCTGTGATCGCCATCCATGTGGACTGGATCGCAGTTACTCCACCTTCAGCAAGGACTATAGGATAAGACTATTTTAATTCTATTCAACCCTCCGAAGATTTTAATAAACCCAGGAATTTCCTTTGGGGACATGCTTATCAAATTTGAATCAGCCTTGTATATATAAGTCACATTTCAATATTTTTCTATCAACTGGAAATCATTTATTATTAAATACTAAAGCAACCATCCTCAAGTCTGTGGTGTTCTCCCGAAATTTATTTCCTGCTGGTTTGCAAACACCCTTAAGTTGATCCAGATGTTAATCAACCATGTACCCGCGTTTGTGATTGTCCTTGGGAGAAAGAATTTTCTGGATGTTTCTGTCCCACCTCTAGCCTTTGTTACTTGATTAAGTGTTGGGTTGAAGTTGCATATTTTTAAGCAAACTAACTGAAAACAACATGTCTGAAATCTTGACAAACATTTTGAGATTTTGGCACCATTTATAAATAAGTGTTCTATCTGTGTACTTATGGTACGTTTATAAAACAGGACACGTTAGCAGTGATTCAAAATCCAGATGCAGTTTTGTGGTGTGATAACCCTGAATTTCCATTTTGTTCTTGATTGTTCCTAATAACTGAATATTTTTTTGTATGGATCAAGAAAACAAAGCAACAAATAAGCAAACCACAGCAAAAAGGTAAAAATACATCTGTTCTCTTTTGCAAGAGAATCACTTAGACATTGTGGCCAGTGACAGCAGCATTTGTGACCTAACCTTTATTAATAGCCACGTGTGCTGCTGAGTGCTATTGAGACTTACAGTTCACCCAAACAGCAGGTTTTTTTCTGACATCATTTAGAAGAGAGTGATCAAACCACGTAAGTCCATGTTATTCTAGATCTTGACAAAATCAGATGCAAATGTCCTCAGTTAAATGGAATTTGGACCCAGTGGTGATCCTCAGTTGCTTTTATTAAATCAGTGGCTCTAGTTCCCTCCTGCCTCTGAGCAGATCTCAGTGCTTCCTCAAGCGAGGTTTAGCAGAAAGAAAGAGCAGCAGTTTTGTTCTCAAAAAGCAATAAGCGAGAATTCTAAGTAAAAGGCGTGGTTTGGGGCTGCATGGCCAAAAGCACATGCAAAGCAGGATGAACAAAGACCACCCAGGTGAGTGCTGATGAGAGTAAAGTAATGGCGGACATTCAGTGGTTGCCTGCTGCCAGCTAGAGTCTTTCCTAGTTCTGTGAGTCTGTGATCGGAAACACTATCAATAGGCTGTCTCCCTGTGCCATGTGTGCAAATAGAAATATATGAGGAAAGAGGAAGTGCTTATGCCCAGGGTGCAACTGGGTTGGGGGAGGGAGGAAGAAAGGAGACAGGAAATTATATTTATATGGCAAGTACAGTGGTGATTCTGAATTGGATGTGCTATCATTCATTGTCTGCTGTGTTCTTGTGCTGGTTTAGGGGTAGATAGATGGTTCAGTCAACCACTGAATTGATTAGGTCCTGACTTAGTAGTCCAAGGCTTCCCTGGTGTCTCAGACAGTAAAGAATCTGCCTGCAATGCAGGATGCCTGGGTTAGACCCCTGGGTTGGGAAGATCCCCGGGAGAAGGGAATAACTACTCACTCCAGTATTCTTGCCTGGAGAATTCCATGGACAGAGGAGCCTGGTGGGCTATAGTCCATGGGGTCACAATGAGTTGGACATGATGAGCAATGAACACTGTCTCTAGCAGCCCTAGAAGTTTTGAACTTGGGGTCTTAACCTCAGCAGAGATTGTCCAAGAATGTCAGTTCTGGGCAGACCCTAGCTAGAACAGTTGAGGGGTCAATGTCTAGATGCCACCACCCGCAGCTCTCCTTAAATTACCCTGCAGACTCTGCCAGAAAGCAATGGAGAAGAGGTGGGAGCCTTACAGAACCGCTAGGATTAGTACCCCCAAAGCGTAAGATTTGATTCTCTGTTTTCATCTCCACCACTCTTTCTCTGCTTCCTTCCAGTTCTTGTCTGTCCTTGCCTTTCGGTCTTCTCTCCTCAATCTCCTTTAATTTTTCTCTTCTGTGTGTGTCTTAGTCACTCAGTCGTGTTCAATTTTTTGCAATCCATGGATTGTAGCCTGCCAGGCTCCTCTGTCCATGGAATTCTCTGGGCAAAATACTGGAATAGGTTGTCATTTCCTACTCCAGGGGATGTTCCCAACCCAGGGATAGAACTGGGTCTCCTGCATTGCAGGCAGATTCTTTACCATCTGAGCCACCAGGGAAGCCCCTTTTCTCTTCTAAGGGCCTTTAAATCCTATCTTTCATTTTAACAACAACTCTCCCTGGAGCAATTTGTGGATCAGCAAGGGATGCTTCCTTAATATGATTCTCAGAGTTTCCTGTGCATGTGTCGCCTGGGGAGCTTGATAAAATACAGAGTCCCAGGCT